GACCTGTTGGCCAGGTTAGTTATAATCAAGCCAAATGTCACAGCTGCCATGACCACTGCCTCCAGCCATCACTACCCGCATCTTGAACACAGGAAGGGTGGTGGGTCCCAGGAGAAGAGAATTCAGAGCTTCCCCCTTCTGTGTGCCAGCTTCTCTGGGCCCCACTTCCGACCTGGCTTTTCTGTTTGTTTCATTTTTAAAGCTCCTCTAACTGACTATAATGTCCAGTCACAGTTGGAAACTCATGGTTCTATTCCACTCTGCTCACTTTGCAGTCGAGACAACTGAGGCCTAGAGAAGTTCACAATGACACAGAGGCAGAGTCAGGTCCATGTCTCCTGATTCCTATGATGGTTCTTTGCACTTTAGCAAGCCAATAAAATCAAGGGTGGGGTTTTATAGACTGACAGATTTGGAAGGCCCCTAATGTTTCAAGAGAGAAACCAGGAGTGCAAAGACTTCTAAGAAAAACCTGTCTTTCGTGAAACCATAAAACTCCTAGGAGAAAATATAGGCAGTACATTCTTTGATATCGGTCTTAGAAGGATCTTTTTGAATACCATGTCTACTCAGGCAAGGGAAACAAAAGAAAAAATAAACAAGTGGGACTTCATCAGACTAAAAATCTTCTGCAAGGCAAAGGAAACCATGAACAAAATGAAAAGACAATCCACCAACTGGGAGACAATATCTGGAAATCATATATCTGACAAGGGATTAATCTCAAAAATATATAAAGAACTCATACAACTCAACAACGACAAAACAAACAACCTGATAAAAAAACGGGCAGAGGATATGAACAGACATTTTTCCAAAGAAGATATACAGATGGCTAACAGGCACATGAAAAGATGTTCAACATCACTAATCCTCAGGGAAATGCAAACCAAAACTATAATGAGATATCACCTTACACCTGTTAGAATGGCTATACTCACCAAGACAAAAAATGACAAACGTTGGAGAAGATGTGGAGAAAAGGGAACCCTCATATACTACTGGTGGGAATGCAAACTGGTGCAGCCACTATGGAAAACAGTATGGAGATTTCTCAAAAAACTAAAAATAGAAATACCATAAGACCCAACCATTCCACTACTGGGTATTTTTCCAAAGAACTTGAAATCAACAATTCAAAGAGACTTATGCACCTCTATGTTCATTGCAGTATTATTCACAATAGCCAAGATGTGGAAGCGACCCAAGTGCCCATCAACTGATGAATGAATAAAGAAGACGTGGTATATACGTACAATGGAATACTATTCAGCCATAAAAAAGACAAAATTGTCCCATTTGCAACAACATGGATGGATCTTGAGGGTATTATGTTAAGCAAAATAAGCCAGACAGAGAAAGACAAATATCATATGATTTCACTCATATGTGGAAGATAAACAAATACATGGACAAAGAGAACAGACTAGTGGTTACCAGAGGGGAAGGGGTTGGGGGTGGGCATAAGGGGTAAAGGGGCACATATATATGGTAACTGACAAATAATAATGTACAACTGAAATTTCACAATATTCTAAACTATTATGACCTCAATAAAAAAAATAATAACCTGTCTTTGATGCCCTCCCCAACCCAACTTTAGAACTATGTCTGAGCAAATAGTTAGCAAAAAGTATTTCCCGAGCACAGTGCAATTTGGAAAGACTATCTCAGTCTAATTTAATGATGGGGAAAAGCATTGCAAAGTCAAACAATACAACTGAGTTGCAAAGTAAGCAAAGATGATAGAACCAAAATATCATTATATCCTAGGCTGGCTTTACCCCAAAACAAATAAACACAATTCTGACCGGGCCTGGGCCCTCCTAGCTTAGTCCCAGGATCCCCGCCTCTGGCTCTTGGCAAGTGCCAAGAATGCCCTCCGAGGGTTACCCTCGCAAACCAAAAGCAATACCTCCTCTTTCCACCAATCTTCATCCTGCTCCCAACCAGTTCCAACACCTCACACCTTCACAATGAGACAGATAAAGTGAAGCCCTGGAATTTTTCCCTGGAATTTTGCCCAGTAGAAAGAAGTTTAGAGTTGAGAGTCAAAAGATCTGACTGTGTAGATATCTGGGAAATCCCTGTGAAATTTATGACTACTGGGAAACCTCTGAGGTCCAGCCTGACTTGTAAAATGACAGCCTTGTGTAAGCCCAGACCAGCCCTGGTTTGCAAAAGACATAGTTAATCTTGAAGCTAGCAGTGTGTGATGTTATAAGAACGCAGAGGAAGAGCTTACTCAATTATTTCCACACTCATCCTGTTTCAAGGATTAAAATAAATATAGAAAATGTAGGAGGTAAGAAAAATTAATTTGTTGCAATCTAAAGTTACTCAAAGGAAGAAAACAATGTCTCTATTGTTGAAAGGGTCTTAAATCTATGTCCTAGCGCTGCCTGACTTGTAGGCTATGTGGAAAATTTTGATTTTCAATATTTACTCTGCAATTTTAAAAAATCTTAATTGCTTATCTTGAGTTTTAAGCTCTAACTTTTTCCTGATCTCTAGTGAGTGAAGTTGTGTGTTGGATGGGAAGGGGGAAACCATTCAGCTCCTGAATGCCCAGGCTCTTCAAGCAGCAAGAACACACTGCTCTGCAAGAAATCTGTTATCTTGCTTTTACAGGGCAGATTTTATATTGCCATCTGCACTCATTTATTCACAAAATTCACTGAGATTCCACGTGCAAGGCCACAGGAAGAAAATAATGAGCACACTAGACAAGTGTTCTGCATTCTTAGAGCTTCCCATCCACTGGAAGAGACTGGCAATGATCAGATCTGCATACAAAGGGATATTTACACACTGACAAACTCTGTAAGAAGAAACCCAAGAAGCAAAGAAAACCTATAAAAGGGGGAGCAATTCTGGAAGGTGAGCGAAAGTGTCCCTTGAGGAACCGACCTTTGAAACTGAAGGATGAGTGGGGTTATTTAGAGAAAGATGGCCAGGCGGCTCAGGCAGGCCACAGGCTGGACAAAGGCCAGAGGCCAAGGGAAGGACAGCTATTGGAGAGAAATTTTCTCAACTTTTCCCTTAGAGTCCTACGAATTATCCGGGCAAGGTATGCAATCATTTCCTTTGGGAACTCCACCCTCTATCTGCAAAATATTTATCTTTCCAAGTCACTTGAGACCAACCCACCTTTAAAAACATTCATTAACCTCTCATTTATCAAATGCTGTCCTGGGCTTTTTTTTCTTTCAGACACCAACACAGTGATTTCTTATTGTGAATTTTTAGCTCCCCTTTTCTCATGATCTATAGTGAGTGATGTCGCGTGTTGGATAGAAGGGGCTCACTGAATGCCCATTTGGCTCATTAAACGCCCACGCTCTTCAAGCAGCAAGAAGATACCTCTGCAAGACATCTGCTTCTCTTGCTTCCAGAGGGGAAGAGGACCCTTTTCCACAATTTAAAGTTACGTTGCCACGGCTAATGTTTAAAACAGTTTGAAAAGCACTAGTGGAAAAATGCCCTTTGCTTCAGCTTCCTGAATTAGAGAAACAGAATAGAAACTTGAGGAGAGAGCAACAGAACGCAGCCCGTGCATCTACCTATGTGTGTAAACAGTGTGTGCGCACAGCACATGCTGTGCCACATTCCAGACGTGTGACTGGTTCTTATCCCCTCACTCTGCCCCATTTTTAAGACAAGGCGAGAGAAAAGGGTGGGGAGGGGTGTCTCAAACTCATCTAAAAGTTATTAGAATGCCATGTGGGATAGAGAAGGAACAACAAAAGGAGAAAAAAATATTATAGAGGAGGATTTCTCTGGAGTGCAACACACAAATCCCCCCCTACCCTCTCAAAAAAAATAGTATAATTCAATGCCCACAATATTCCATTCCACATGGAAGCCAGGTTCTTCACAATTCCTCAGTTACTAGATCTGGAAATCTACACATAAATAAATGCCACCTTCCTGTCACCAAAACTTCTAGGAAGAAAAAATTGTGGCTTTCCTCACATTCCACAAAAGGAGTTGCAATTGTTAATACATCGCTTCTGTCCTGATTTGCCACACTTTTTACCTCCCCTGGGGGAAAGGGCAGCTTCCGTGGGTGCCCAGGGTACCTCGCTGCTGCAGAAAGCCCTCCCTCCCAGGGGCATCCCTCCGCCCTGGCAGACAGCAGCCCTGGCACGTTAGCATCTGCAGCCTGTCTGGTCCCTCCCGCCTGGAGTCCCTGAGCGCTGCGACTACAACAGCGCTGGCTTCCCCAAAGCCGCAGTGGGTTGTGTAACCACACTCTGACCGCCTAGGGGAGCGTGGTGAGCTGCCCTCCCGACAGCACCTGTTCAAAGTCACTGGTGCCAGTTAATAAAAGACCCCCCAGGCAGGAGGGAACCCAAGACCCTGGGGAAGGGAAAGAGCGAAGCGCTGTTGGGACTTCATCGCTGGCGGTGGGGGTGGGGTTTGTAAATTTCTCCAGGAGCAACATTTAAACCCCACGTTCTGTCCTTAGAGCTGGCGATGCGGGACGGTCAAGAACACAGTGAGGCCGGCTATACACCCCATCAGAGCGGGGCAGGGAAAGGGGGACGGGGCGGAAACTCGCGAATCCTGGGGGAGTGCTCAGAATTTCTCCCCAGGGAAGCCTCTGGTGGAAATGCCAAGGACATCTCCGCTCCTCTTTCCAATTACGTAACTCTTACACATTTGGGAGAATACACAGGAACATAAATTTAACTACTTATTAAGGTAGAAAGTCTCTAAATAGATTGCCTTTAAACTCTGGGCAGATATGAAGTCTGAATAGACCTAGTGGCCACCTGGCAGCGTTAGAAGGTGGCATCCCGGGGACCGGACTCCCCAGCCCCTCTCCCCTGCAAACACAGCGGCAGGAGCCGGGTCGCCGCCGGAGACGGTGCCCTCTCGGCCAGGCAGGATCGCCGCACGCCTGTCCCCGCGTCGCGGAGTCGCCTGGACCTGCAAGTCCCTGCGGAGCGGGCTGCCCCTCCCCCTCCCCTGGCGAACACCTGGACCGCGGTTACCTGCGGGGCCGCGACCCTCCGCAGCCCATTGGCCGGCTCCCCGCAGCCCTTGCCGGTGGCCGCCGGGAGATGCTCGAGCCCGGGCGCCGCGCAGTTCTCCCCCGGGCCTTCGTCCGGCGCGGGGAGGAGCCCGCAGCGGCGCTGGAAGCGGGCGACGAGCTGGGAATCCTGCAGGCTCCGCAGCAGCTCGGCCATGGTGCGCCCGGGGCCGCGCGCCGCCGCCGCCACGCCGGTGCCCTGGGCTCGCACTGTCCCTCCCGCCGTCACCCTCGCCGGGCTGGGCATTCCGGGCGGAGGCGGAGGGCGGGCGGGGCCCGGGGCGCCAGCCAACAGGTGCGTCGCTCGGGTCCTAGCGCCCGCCCCCTGCGCGCGGGCGCCCAGGTGTCCGCCTCCACTTTGCGCCCAGGTGTCCGCCCTCCTTGCCTTCCCGGTGGGCTTGGGCGGGCTCGGGCTGTCCCCGGCGTCCCGCCCGCTCGGAAGAGGGCGGAGGAGGACAGGTGTCTACATCGCGCCACTCTCCGCACGATCGCGCTCCCACCCCCTCCAGGCTGGCGCGGACGTGCCAGCGAACGGGGAGCGGCCGAGCAGGTGTGGACCTGCGCGCGTCCATCCTGCCATGCGCGGGCTGATCCCGTTTGACCTTCCTTTACCTCTTGAGCCCAAGGGGAAGTCGGATTTCCCCTCCAGCTCCCCGCAACCAGCCCTCTACTCCTGCCTTTCCCCGCTTCCTGCAAGTAGGGTGACCTCCCACTAGGAAAGAGTCCCAACTTCTTTCCAAACTCTGCGTGATGCGACGTCTCCCCCCAAGCTCGAAAAACTTCCTCGACCTTGCTCAAGAACCGAGGGGGTTCAAAGTGGACCCTGAGCCATCCTCCGCCTACCTGCTTCTGCCCTTGTGATTTGGCAACAGGGGACCACTTTTAGACCCGTGGGGAGGAAACGCGACTCTTTCTCGGTTTCCTGCGTTGAGATGGATGATGCTTGCCGCTTCCTCTGGTTTTTTCCGCTCTGTCTGTCTTTACGCAGTGGCACCGGGAAGACGGAACAAGATCGTTTGGGACCTTTAGACCCGAAGAGAACACGGCAAGGACGGGGAGGAGGAGTTGACATCTCTCCGCACCTGCGCCTGCTCTAGAGCTCTCAGCGGGAGAGCAGCAAAGGAAACATCCTATAGATCGGCCTGGGTTTTCCCTCCTCCCTCCTGAACCTCCTTCCAAGGGCGCTGAGATCCCGCGTGAGGGCCCCTGCACTTCCTCATGGGGAGAGGCAGCAGTCAAATTAGGCCCAGCCTGTCAGCCGGCAACAAAAGCGCGATTCAATCCTTCTATCTTCAGTTTGCAGCAGAGGGCCGCGCGTTTCCTGGCCGCCCGTGCAAACCCTGCTAAGTAGAGGTTGCACAAAGGCCTATGAAGGAAAACCTCGTTACCCAGTTGTGCTTTTAGACCAGGAAGTCTTTGAGAGGTAGCTTTCAAGGGTGACTTGGTCTCCTTCATGCCTTAGTTTCCACTTTCCTTTCTGGTCCTGTCTGGAGAACAAGATCAAGGGGGCTGAGAGAGCAATGAAACTCTTGGAGATAACATTTTCTACTTCCCTTACAGAGGAAGCACAGAGCTGCTGTCGCAGTCCAGCTGAGTCACACACCAGATGTCCAGTCCCAGAAGCAGAAGGTTTCTCTCCCCAGCATTGCTGTCATTTACAGCCACTGAGACCAAACCCTGGGGTTTAGTTTTAAAAGCTGGAGTTGTGTTAAAGAAATATGTTCTCCCATGAAGACACTTGAGTGATGTTATCTCCCACATTCGATGCTTCCGTTTTCTTTTCTCCCAACTAGGAAAAAGAGGCAAAGCAAAACATGACACATGTGTCAAAAGGCCAAAGAACTGTACATTCAGACAATGTATTTTATCTCCTTGGAGGCCCAGGTCCTGACTCCAGCTTCCAGTGACTTGCGACGTCACTGTCTGCCTCAGTTTCTTCATATGATAAAACGATAATCCTCACTTCTTGTCTTTCCTATAAGGGTGTCGTGAAAAATCTTTCCATAAGCTCTATAAGGCACCTGTGACATTGCCGTAACAGTATGTTTTGTGTTGGAGCCATTCAATTTAGTAAGGAATCCTCAGCAGAATTTGGCTTTTAACAGCCCCCTTTTTTTTCTTTTGCTGAGGAAGATTTGTCCTGAGCTAACATCTGTTGCCAATCTTCCTCTTTTTATGTGAGCCACCACCACAGTATGGCCACTACAAGTGGTGTAAGTCTGCGCCCGGGAACCAAACCCGGGCCGTCGAAGTGGAGGGCGCTGAACTTAACCACTAGGCCACTGGGGCTGGCCCTGAACATCCTGAGTGAGACTGAAAAGCTGGTTACTTCTGGCAATGATCAACATGCGTCCCCAGATCACGTCTTCTAAAGCACAAGCCAATGTTCCGAACTTAAATTTCCCAACCAATCGAACAAAAATCAATGTCTTTGAGAAGTGATAGGCTGAAAGACTGCTCTAATATAACATCTAGTGGAGATGTTAAATGATAGCCTGAAGTCATACAAATAAATAAACAAATTTGATGTAGAGCTGTAGTTTTTTGATAGTTTAACACTAGTCATGCCTAGGAGAAATACGTTTTACTACTGTTTTTTTTCCCGGCGGAAATCCAGTTATTTGTACTTTGCTTAATTTTGTATATATACCAATTGCTAAATGACATATTTTAGAGGAACCAATGATAGATGTGTTAGTTAGAGGAAAGGTTAAGCCACTGTACCAGACATCCCCAAATCCAGTGGCTTAAAGAACACAGCCATTTAGGGCTGGCCCCGTGGCTTAGCGGTTAAGTGCGCGTGCTCTGATGCTGGCGGCCCGGGTTCAGATCCCGGGCACGCCCCAAGGCACCACTTCTCCGTCCAACCCGAGGCTGAGTCCCACGTACAGCAACTAGAAGGATGTGAACCTATGACATACAACTATCTACTGGGGCTTTGGGGGGAAAAAAATGAATAAATAAAATCTTTAAAAAAAAAAAAGAACACAGCCATTTATTTCCCTTTCATATAATAGTTGCAAGATGAGCAGTTTGGGTTAATGGGAAGGCTCTGCTCCATGACTTTACACAGTGACTCGTGTCCTTTTCATCTGATTACTCCACCACCCCCCGGAACCGAGTCCTAGGACGCTGTCCCTTTCTGCATGGTTGAAGCTGGGTTATGGGCACGTCTGAAGTCCAGTGAGTGTCCTGAGCAGCGATTTCTTTCTCAGTAAGGCAGAAGTTCCCACCTCGCTTTCTCTGATAGCCATCAGAGAGTAGTCACATGGCCTCTAGAAAGGCTGGGAAATGTCATCTCTAGCAGGGCAGCCTGCGTCCAACCTATTACTGTGGGAGAAGGGAGGACACGTTTTGGTGGACAATCAGCAGTCTCCACCAGGTATGGAAATCAAACCAATGTTGGCTTAAATGTAAAATATAAATCTGTTATAATTCAACCCATGATCTGCTCAATTTTATCCAGGTGGTCTGTCTTTAATTTGGCACATTCTAAATACTCACGTGCAGATACAACGTTTTTTAAAGAAAGCACTAAAAATAAGTAAATTCAAGGGGAAAACTGTCATACCATTAATGAATCAAAATGAGAGAATTAAAAGGAAATGATGTTAAAATACCTTTTAGATGAGAAACTTTGGTATTAATTGCATTATTGCATTTTAAATTCTAATTTAGAGTTTCTCTACAGAGCAGGTCATTTCCAAATTACAACTAGACCATTCAATTTTCAAGTTGGCAATATTTCCTGGATCAAGACAGATATCCAGGGTTTGTACATTGTATTGATTATCTATTGCTGCATAAATTACCCCACAAATAGTGGCTTAAAACAACATTTATTGTCTCATAGTTTCTGTGGGGCAGAAATCCAGGTGCATCTTAGCTGAGTCCTCTGGCTCTGGATTTCCCAGAAGGTTGCAGCCAAGGTGTTGGTCAAGGCTGTAGTCATCTCAAGGCTACACTGGAGGTAGATCAGCCTCCAAGATCACTTAAGTGGTGGTTGGTAGATTTCCATTCCATTGGCCAGAGGCCACCTTCCCTTCTTTGCCACATGGGCCTCTCCATAGGACAGCTCACTACACAGCTGCTTCCTTCATCAAAGCAAGCAAACAAGAAGAACCAGAGACAGAGAGAGAATCAGAGCGAGACCAAGTAGCCATCTTTTATAACCTGATCTTGGAGATAACATCCCAATACTTTTGTCATATTCTGTCTCTTAGAAGCAAGTCACTAGGTCGAGCCAGTCCTCAAGAAGGAGATGAGACAGAGCACAAATACTAGGATGTAGGGGTCATCAGAAGCCCTTTCAGAAGCTGCCTACCACAGGTTCTTCCCATTTACGTTAATTTTCTAACTTCATATCTGCAATATCAATATTTAGCATCCCAAAGAAATGTGATACATAACCTTGGCCTCAACGAGCTTCCCTCTGTTGCACAAATAAGATGCAAACACACAGAAAAAAATGTGTAATAATATGAAAACAATGGTGTCATGGAAGACACAGGGCATCAGAAGACTAATTTCCAGTAAAGAATTACATAAACCACAGCTGTAATTCTCAAATCTGGGATCAGAATTACCTACAAATCTGCCCAAGTTACAGTACATATAGCTTAAGACAAACAAAAGCAGAAATTATTGAGTTAGGAAAGAGAAAAACAATAAAACTAACAAATCCAAAAGTTGGTTCTTTGAAAAAAATCAACACCATAGAAAAGCAATTAACTAATCTAGCAAAGAATAAAAGGAAAAAACACAAAAGCGCAAAATTAGAAATGCTAAGGGAAAAATAATCATCAAAAGCAGAGGAAATTTTAAAAGTCCTCAGAGGGTACTTTGCATACCCTTATGTGAACAAATCGGAAAATGTAGATGAAATAGATAATTTTTTTTTTTAGGGAAATGCAACTTACTAAAATTGACCCCAGTAAAGAAAGTCTAACAGACCAATTATCGTGGAAAAACTAGAAAAAGGGGTTAAAATTCTCGCCTATGAAAAGCACCAAGGCTAGATAGTTTCAAAGGGAAATTCTACCCAACCTTCAAAGAATAGATAACCTCAATGTTACTTAACCTATTCCCAAAGAAAGAATTTTTCAAAAATTTTTCATAAAACAATTATGATATTGATCTCAAAGCCTGAAAGAGTACCAAAAGGAAAACAACAGAATATTCCTACTTGTGAATAGGATTCAATATCTTAAAATATCAACAATTGAAATTCAACAGTTCATTTAAAAAAGAATATATCGTGCCTAAGTGCGATTCCTTCCAGTCGTGCAAGGATAGTCAAATGATAG